ATGTTGGCCAGGCTGGTCTCGAACTCCTGACCTCAAGTGATCCACCCACCTCGGCCTCCCAAAGTGCTGGGATTACAGACGTGAGCCACTGCACCCGGCTCAGTTTCTATTTCTTGATGCTCTGCCCATGCGGAGGATTTTCCCTCACCACTGTCTTCTAGGAACCCTGAGCTGGGAAAGTCCATTTTGGTTTGCACCGAAAGACCAAGCCATCATATCCATGAACCAGGCTCAAGATTTTCTTCCTCGGTCATCTAGTCCCAGGGAACCCTCTCAAGGCCATATGTGTGAGGTTAAAGGAAAGTCACAGGTGCACCTAGGTGATGATAGGGTGACCCAAGCCATTGTCCATCGAACTGACTTGTTTCCACCCCCCCTGCTTGGCCTGGCCCTGAGGGGCCATGTCCATGTACAATGGATTGCTTTTGCACCACCACTGCCACCCCCACTTAGGACCCCATAACATTCAGCTCATGGTGGGCAACTCAGGTCGCACAGTTACTTGGTGTCCCCTGGCCAGGGGCCCAATATCACACCAAATGCTGCTTTCCAACAGTGAATACTTCTCTGCTGCAGACAATATGCTGTCGTTTCAGGACTTCACCTCCTATTTTGGGGTTTGCCAGAGATGCCACATGGTGCCCCTTTCTACTGCAGACACCATTTGCACCATGGTGGCATCGCAGCGTGAATCTGCTCAAGAACCTGCCTGTGCCCTGGCCCCATTCAGAACCAACAGCCTTCTGAGTCCCCCAGCAAATGGACATTCCCAAGTGAGGTGCATGCAGCCTCCAAAATCCAGTGAGGCCCACTGAGCCCCATGCTTGTTCTTCACAGTAGGTGGGGCAAGGTACAAAAACTTCCCCTTTACCTTGGAAGCAACGTCTCAGCACGCCCCACACCACTGAGCCTCTAAAGTCTGAATCTGTGGGCCAGACCTTGAGACTGTAAGGTTTGTCTCCCACCCTCTGGAATGAATGTGTCTTAGAAGGCATCCAAAGAACTTTGCAGTCAATCCTCTCCAGTTCTAATTAGCATGATGTCATGCTAATTAGAATACAACACAGTGAACCAGCATGATATTCTACAGACCATCCAGGTGATGAAGGCCCATTAGGCTACATCGTGACACAGAAGAGAGGGTTAACATCAGTCTGGGCCAGACCATGAACTTATAATGTTATCTCTTCCAGGTGAATGCAAACCGTGTCTGAGCCTCCCCTCCGGTGGGGATTGGAAAGAATGCCTTTCTTCCAGGCCAGTGGCCACATACGAGTTCCAGAGGCCCTGCTGTCCTGTTATACTAAAGATACCACGTCTAGCACAGCACGTGGACTACAGGTTACAACTTGATTAAGTTTGTGTAATCCACTACCATTCACCATAATCCATCTGGCTTCTACTGGGGCCATGCTGGTGAATTAAAGCTCTGAGAGTAGAACTAAATTAGTACACCCAGGAGGTGGCATGTTTTGCTGGGTTATCTTGGCCATGAGAATAGGGATGATTTCGAAACAACCTTCCCCTTGGCCCTTCCTGCTATTACAGCTCTTACTCCTGCTATGTACAGCCACCCTGCTTCACAATCAAATGCCAAGGGAATGGCCACAGGGTGGGCCTGGCCCTTCCATTCCATTATGAATCAGGCGGGAACCATGATTCTGCCTTCCACCAGCCCCCATTCTACCGGGGGAGGAGCGATGGCATTTTGTGTCCCCTTGCGTGGGTGTCGGCTCAGGCCCTGGATCTTGCAGCCTTCAAGGGGCCTGGGCATCTCCTGTTGTGAGTATACGCTTCCTCTGGCAGATGGCCGGAGGTCCCTTTCAAGGAGGCTCCAGGGAGCTGCTGCTGCATGAATTGCAGGTTCCCTCCAAGAGCCTAGGGTGTGAGCTGCGGCTCAGGCACTGAGGGGTAAATGCCCCTGAGAGGTCAGAGGTAGAGAATAGGAAATGTCCAACGGGCAGGACCCATGCAGGTCATGGGCTACAGGCAGGCAGTGCTGGGTTGATGAGAGCTTGTGAGGTGCGGGGGACACAGAATGGTAAGGACAGAGTGGAGGTGGCATCAGATGCCGGGAGAGGACACCTTACATCAGAGAGGTTAGGAGGTTCTTGTACTGCTGTGAACAACTACCTCAACTACCTGAGACTGAGTAATGAATAAAGAGGTTTAACTGACTCGCAGTCCCGCAGGCTGTGCAGGAAACATGGCTGGGAGGCCTCAGGAAATTGACAGTCAAGGTGGAAGGTGAAGGAGAAGGAGGCACATCTGACATGGCCCGAGAAGGAGGAAGAGAGCAAAAGGGGAGGGGGAGGAGCCACACACTCAAACAACCAGATCTCATGAGAACTCACTCACTATCACGAGAACAGCAAGGGAGAAATCCACCCCCATGATCCAGTCACCTCCCACCAGGCCCCTCCTCCAACACTGGGGATTACAATTCGACATGAGACCTGTGTGGGACACAGATCCAAACCATATCAGGGGCCACTTCCACGGGGACGGGAAGAAGCAGATGGGACTAGTCCTTGGCAGGTGGGCTCATGGCTGTGTGTGCACCCTCAGTTGCCTTTAGTTTGCTCTAAGAACGAGGTAGGAGTAGGGGATGGCTGGGGAAGGGGGGTCTTTCACAGAGAATGGAGAAGACTCAAAATTATCCGTCTGCACACGAGCCTCTTCTACTTCTAGGGGAAATACTTTCCACACAGATATACAAAAAGTAGAGAGTCCCCTTTCTGCTGGGTATACCCAGCACATTCATTTTTTCAAGATCAAATATACAGCATTTCTTCTCCAAGGAATGGCACACAGTGCAGGCAGGGCCAAGCCCTCAGCTCCAGGTCTCCTGCCGAGGCTGTTTGCTTAACAACACCATGTGGCTGGGTCAGCATGCACTACGTGGGGTTTGGCACCTGCATCCAGGCCCTGACCCAGGGAGGAGGTGCTCCAAGAGGGCTGCCTTGCCCCACCAGGCACTGAAAGACTCTGAAAGCCCACTCCTGGGGACAAAATCCCTCCACTGTCCCCCTCAATGAGAAGCCCATTCCTTCTTCCAAATGTCCCAGGAGCCTCCCATGGTGCAGTGCAGAGTCTGTCAGGCAGCCGAGAACAGGTGGCCAAGACCAGGTGGCCCAGCTCAGCTCTCCTCGCCGCCCAGAGTCCTGGCCTTCTGGAAGATGCTCTGCATGGCAGAGATCCGGTCCTTATCCTGGATGTTGAGGACCTGGAACTACAGGCAGGGTTGCAGGGGAGAAGGGTTACAAGGACGCCTGGAGCCCACGATCAGCTTTCAGGGCCAAGAGCACAGCATGGAACAACCGGCCCTCCCTGGGCCATGCCGGGCCTTCCTGCCCCGGGTATCTGCCTGGATGGGCATCCCAGAGGCAGAGCAGGCCCAGCCTCTGCTCCTCCCTGAGCCCCTTCTCACACACGGCGTCCCTGGTGTGGGCCTACACACAGGAGGCCCCACGGGGTGCTGCTTGAAGGCTGTCTCTGGCGACCACCCCACCCTCACCCCACCCTGCCCACACAGGTCTGCTGAGAGCAGAGCATGGCCCTTGCCCCCTAATCTGCAGGCTCTGGGGTAAAAATTCTTAAGTGCTGGGCATGAGGGGAGACCCCAGGAGGCCATCAGCATCTCAACAGGCAGAGGTTTGCTAAAATAGGATAGGAGATGCCCAGCAGAGGGCAGCTACCCTGTGGCCTCACTGTGACGAGGACATGGGAGAGGGTGGCTGAGAAACCCCCTGTGTGCCCTGGAAGGAGACTGTGTTTGTTCCTGGGATGAGGGTGAGGGCCCGGCCCTGGGCGAGGAGCAGGGTGGACTCTGGGCAGGCTCAGCAGAGGTGGCAGAGCCTGGGGCACAGGGAGGGACAGTTGGTGGAGCCTCCAGGCACCCACGAGAAGTGGCCCAAGGGACACAGGGTCCCAAGGAGCATGGCTGTGGATTCTCGAGTCCAGGGAGAAAAAAACATGGTCCCTGTGGGGCCCAGGTAAGGCCACAGCCCTTCACGAGGAATGGAACTCCAGGGCCAGGTAAGGCCACAGCCCTTCACGAGGAATGGAACTCTAGGGTGGGCAGCTGGGGCTCTGAGCATTTACCAAGTGTGAGCTGGGGGGCAATTCTGGTGGGAAACGGAAGCAGGGTCAGACCCACTGCCCTGGTTCCAGGGAGCAGCCCCAGGCCCTGAGGGGACCCCCTATGGCCTGTGTGACCCCCAGACATCACATGTCCCCACAGATGCTCTCCATCCGAGCCCTGACCTGGCCTCAGCATTCCTGGGGCCGCTGACCTGGGAGAGAGTGGGCAGGGAGCTGGGCCAGGGCTCCGCCCCCACCCTCCACACCCCTGGGCCTGCCCAAGGCTCCCGCGGCCAGCACCCACCTTGTCCAGCAGGACGTCGAAGTAGGCAGTGGCCCAGTAAGTGGGGTCACTGGCCGGCAGCTGCAGGAGCGCCTTGAGCCCGGAGCCGATGCGCGGCGGGGGGCTGCGGCCCAGGTGAGTGGCGTGGATGCGCAGGGCCGCCTCGGGCTGGCTGGCGAAGCCCTCCACACGCTCGTAGATGGCGCCGAGGTCCAGGCCGCTGCCCTGCAGCAGGTTGCGCTGAGGGTGGAGGAAGTGGGGCAGCTTCCGCGTGGCCAGGCAACAGAGCAGCACCACCAGCAGGCGGTACACGGCGCCCTGTAGCTCTGCCCAGTCCTCGGGCGCTGGGAAGAGCACGGAGGCCCACAGCAGCACCGTCTGCAGGACAGCGGGGTCATCCCTGGCCTCCTGTCCCACCTGGCCTACGCTGCACTCCCACCACCCTCACCCTGGCTGCCCCTCCCTGCTCCCACCCGCACCTCTCCCTACCCTGCGCCCTCCCCTCCACGTCCCAGTCGTCCCAGTCGGAGTCCTAGGCCCCTCCCACCCGCTGCCCCCAGCCTGCTGGCTCCCGAAGGCATGAACCCCCTCTCTCTCCTCCCTTGCCTGGCTCTGGCCCTGGCGCCCCACCCTAGCTCCTCCTTTCACCCCCCAGGACCTCCCTTGGGGGTCTCTGCAGCTCCCAGCATCCTCTGGGCCTTTCTCTCCTTCCCTTCGCCCCTTTGAGCTCCTACTCACCCCCTACAGCCTAACCCAACAGGCCCCATGGCATTGCCACAGTCCTAGTCTGTGTGCTCACGACCCCTGGCCTGAACCACAGACATGGGCTGCCTGTGGCAGCCCCAGAGACCCTTCCCCTCCAACCTGCCCCAGGCCCTGTCCCACAGTGGCTTTTCAAACCCTCTTCTTCCACGGCCCCCTCACCCTGCAGTTGAGTTTGGGGCTTCAGAAGCGCCACGCATCCGGCCTCAAGGGGAGCTGGAAGCTCCAGGTCAGGGGGAGGCCTGAGAGGGCGTGGCCAGAGATCATCTGGGGACTCCCAACACCAGAAGGGGCACCTCTCCCTCAACTCTGAGCCAGGTGGAGGGGCCATCCATCTGTGGAGCGGCGCCCGGCCAGCCACGCACTCCAGGGAGCGGCCAGCCGAGCAGACACCCCAAGACAGCACAGCACCTGCTTCCTCGGGGTTGGGGTGGGTTGGTGTCCCTGGCCCCTGCCTGTTCCTTGTTCTTCTCAGCATTTGACATTACAAAGCCCCAGGACAGAGCTCTGCAGAATGTCACTGAGGCCCAGGAAGCAGAGAGAGGGGTGTGCCTGGGCTCTGCTGGGAACCCCCAGAGGGAGGTGTCCCAGCCGGGTGACATTCCCAGACACTGGGAGGAGGCTCGCTGGGCGGGAACACTGGGCTCTGTGAGGCCCCACCCTGAGGTTCTACCCAACAGTGTCCCAGGGCCAGGAGGGCTGCCAAGGTCACGGCCCAGGGATGGCGAAGGCCAGCCTGCGGCACCACGGCTCCTGCGGCCACGTTCCCATGACCCCCATGAGCCACGGCCTCACCTCAGAACCTGGACGGGCCCTCAGAATCCCCCCAACTCCGACTCAGGGCTCACACCAGCTGCCCGCCAGTCAGGGCTGGCAGGAGGGACTCGCCTGGGTGCACCTACCCCTGGGCCCTGCTGACAGACAATCCCCTGAGTCCCGCCCTGGGTACCTTCAGGTGGCCAAAGGTCAGGCCGTCAGTCCGGCCACCGTCTCGCCAGCTCTCGTGGTTGACCCGGTCGAGGATGGAGAGGCTGTCCAGGCGATGGCCCTGCAGGGAGCCCAGCTCCCCCAGCAGCCTGGTGAGCAGGTAGTCAGTGGAGGTCCTGGGGCCCAGAGAGATGCACTGGGTCAGCCCCCGCCACTGTTGGCCCCCAGCATGGGGAGCTCCTGAGCCCCGGAGGTTCAGGCCCTGGCCGGGGTCATGCTGTGCTGCATCTGCTGGTGGGACCCAGCCTGGACCCCAGGCTTCTCGGGAGCTGCGGTCATCGGCTGTGCAGTGTGCACGCCTGCTTTTCATGGAGACTCCCTGGCCCTGAATACAGAGGGAGATTGGAGCCTCCAGGCCAGCCTGGCCCTTTGTGTAGACAGGAAGGTGCCTCTCAGACCTGCCCAGGTTGGAGCCACCCAGCCCGGGGGTGTGACAGCTCCACCCACGGCCCCTTCAGGAAGCCCAGGGCGGCAGCCTCCAGTGGTGGCCACACGATGGGCTCAGAATCTCTGCTCCACTCCCCAGCCCCGCCCATGCCCGTAGCTCAGAGCAGCTCACACCAGACGACTTGCTGTGCGCATGCTGGATGGGGTGAGGTGGTGGAGCTTTGGCACCGCACCGTCATGGGCCCACCCTTCACGGAGCCACAACAGAGGACAGCCGTGTGCCCAGTGTCTCCCCCAAGTCTATGGGACGTGGAGCACCAAAAATGTCATTTTCCCATTTAATTGCAAAAATGACTCTACCCAGCCAGCCCTTCCCCTTCCTTGGCAGGCAGACAGGTAGTTATTCCACAAGCCTGGACACCGCCCCTGCCTTGCGCGACGGGTCAGCGGGAAAGCAGGGCAGGTGACGGGCGCTCTGCCGAGTCTTTCCTTTTTGGGGAAAACCACAGGAGGGGCATGACCAGCTTTGTAAAGCCCCCCACTGACGAGCGTGGATTCAACCATCCTTCCAGCAAGTGAGGGGGTGTGAGCCACCCCGAGGGGCTGTTGCAGCGGTGTCAGATCTGGATGGGGTGCGGTCCCTGGCCATTGGTTAGGGGTCTTCAAGGGAGCTCAGCCTCTGCCCAGTGCCCCTTTCCTTCCTCTCACAGACAGCAATGTGGACGCACCCCCATTGTGTGGGGACCGTCTCAGCTTCTCTGGGAACCCTCCTGCCTGGACAGGTTGCCTGACCTCTCAGCTATTTTCCTGCCCCAAGCAAAAGCTGGGTAGTGGATGGTCCCATCTAGGGCAGCCGTCCACAATTCCAGGTCTCTCATCACCCAGCGTCAGATGCCACCAGGCCCCTTTCCACTTGGGAGAGGACACATCTCCACCCTCGCTACAGCCAGAGACCCCAGTAATCTCAGTGGAACACACGTGCCCATGGGGGCAGAGGCAGAGGGAGGACCCTGCAGATGCTCCTGGCTGGGGCCGGGGGAGCATGGGAGCAGTGGCCCCTTCCTGCCCACTCCCCAGAAACCTTGTGACCGGGAGGGTGCGCCTACCTCCAGAGCTGGGTGCTGGCCGGCACCAGGTCCACCCCTTGGCTGAGGATCCTTCTCAAGCTGCCCTCAGGGAACCCAGGCATCTGCTGGGCCCCCTCCAGGGCAGGCGCCCCAAGCTTCCTTCTCACCACGGGCACCACGCGGAAGTTGATTGTTCTCCAGCCGCTGGACACCAGCAAGGACAGGTGGAGCCGCTCCTCCCTCAGGCTGGCCGCGTTCAGCGAACCTGCAAAGACCCAAGTCACGCCCTCCTCCTCGACCTGCCTCACCTACCCAGGACACTCCACAGCCCTCCTCCTGCTGCCAACTTGGCTCCTGCCCCTCATCACCTCTCCCCTGCAGCCCTCTCTGCTGGCCCCCACCTGCAGGCTGCAGCATCCCAACCCCGGACACCTGCGTGCATCCCTGGACCTCAGCCGAGTGAGGAGCTGGCCACCATGCCTGCCCACTGGTGACCGTCCTCGGCACAACTGTCAGCTCAGCGACCTGCAGCATCAGTGATGACGGCAGCGTCTGACGTGAGGTTTTCCTTTGCCAGGCACTGCCCTCACCCCGTACCCCAGGACCACGCCTGCTGTGCCTTCCCAGGCCTTCCTAAGCCTGCTTGCTCTGCCCCAGCCCTGGGACCAAAGTCCCAGCCCTCAGCTAGCCCCCTGCCTTCTGACGACGGCCCTGGCGTCTCTGCTGCCTTCTCTGCGGGGAAGAAGGCAGCAGCAGTCCAGGCTGGGGCCACAGGGCTCCCACTCCAGAACTGGAGAGTGTGGAGCAAGGCTAGGCCTTTCCTCCCCAGAACTCGCCTCCTCCTCCCCATGCCCCCTACCCCTGCCCCTGGAAGCTTCCCTGACAGCCCCCTGCCACTCAAATCAACTGCATGCACAGGAACCCCATGTTGGACCCAGCTAGGGCACCAGTCTACATGATGAGGGCAGCAGGGGCAGGAGGGACAGGCCCAGGCCGGGGCTCAGTTCCCATGGAGAGAAGAGGTGGCGGTGGCCGCCAGTCGTGGGGAGCCAGCTTGGCCACCCGTGTTTCTGGGCTGCCCAGGCTCACAGTGAGAGCTCAGCCGCTCTTCCTGACCAGGTCTGGATCCTACGCTTCCCAGAGAGCCCTTGCCCGAGAGCCCCATGGCCTCTGTCACCCCACAGGGGGCACATTCTGGCCAAGAAGTTTCCCACTCCTTTCCCTGCTCAGACCCCACCCGGGGCCCAGCCCAGTGCCCACTTCCCTAACATGCAGCCCAGAGCCCCCGGAGGGCCCGTTCCAGGGTGTAATGGGGCTGGGGCTGTGGGCATTCTGGTGAATCCAGGGGCCCTCTGACCTCTGCCTCAGTCACCCAACCCCCCAAAACAAAGTAATACCTGAGAATGAAGAGGGTGAGGTGTCACTCGGGGTGACTGCAGACACTCACACGGCCCCCGCCCAACACTGGCCCAGGCGCCAGGGGAGAGGCCGCCCCTCCCCTCCCCAGCACTGTCCAGCCGGGGGGCCCAGGTCACAGGGAGCTGAGCCCAGGCGGAATGCTGGCGTGTCCCCAAGGGAATCTTGGCCTGTGCCTTAGGAAAGGTCCCCATCATGAGTGAGCATGGGGCCTGCCTTCCTACCATCCCACTGCCCCAGGGCCCTCCCGGAGGAAGCCTGGTGCCGGCTGTGTGGGACCTCAGCACCCACAGTCTCCCGTGGGGCAGTTCTGGGGACACCTCTGGGACCCACCTCAGGGCAACCCTGGCTCTGCTGCCTGGGGAGCCCATCCCACAGGGGCCTCAGTTCCCATCAATGAAAGAGAAGGAGGGCCCCCCCAGTGCAGCATTTGAGGTGCCTGCCATTCAGAGCCGCCTCTAGTGGCCACACACTGCATCTGCCGTGGGCCACACACGCTCGCTGCCCGTGACCTGGCAGCTTGGAAGGCAGCCACAACTGCACCAGCCCAGCCACAGGCCACAGCCCTGGGCTGGTCTCACCGGTTCCCAGGGTGGGGGCAGCCTGATCCCTGTCACCCAGGCTGCGACTTCCCTTTTAAGGTAAGTGTCAGGAAACAATGCCTGGAATTTCCCCGCAGGCCCAGCCCAGCGCAGCTTCAGGGGCCGTGGGGGCGGCCTGCAGTATCGGGTTGGCTTTCTCAGAGCGCACTCTGGGGGTGTGAGGAGCCTGGCAGCCTAGACTTAATCCTAACGACTCAGGGCCTGGCACAGCCTCTTGCTCACGCCAACGGGTGGGCCTGTCTCACAGGTGGGGACAGGGCCAGGTGAGGTCGGCAAGAAGATAGAAATACCCACCCCACAGCCTGCATGATTAGAGGCTCAGAAGATGCCGGGGCAGGAAGTCCAAGGGGCTGGGGGCAGGGTGAGGGCTGGCTGGGAGCACAGAAGCTGACCCCCCAGAGGTCAGGTCAGTCACTCATCCCAGGGCACCAGACAGGTCTGGGGAGGGCTTTTGTTAGAATCCACCCTCCTGGCCTTCCAGCATGCAGACTGGAGGTCTGGCTGTGTGCGGCGGCGGCAGCACACCCTTCCCCAGAACTCAGAGAAGGTGCCCCTGCCTCCAGGCAGGCCCCAGCACTGGGCAGCCCCAAGCAGGTCACGGCCTCTCGCGAAGGTGAGCTGACCCCACCCGCTGACCTCATGAAGGACATGAGGGTCAGATGAATACCAGGGAGGTGACTCGAGGCAACAAAGCCCTGTGAGGACTGTGGTGACTCATATTGGACAAATTCTGTTCCAGTCCCCAGTTCCCTTCCAGGACAACCTGATCCCCCGAGGATGGCTGCACTACTCAGGGTCGCCATCATCCTGGCCCCTGCGCAGGCCAAGTCCTGTTCTCCCAGCCACCCTCACCGTCCAGGCAGCTCCTGCTGAAGGAGCCCTGGGCTCAGACTCGCCCTGGATCATATCAACAGGGCCCCAAAGGTTGGGCCAGGCGCGGTGGCTCACACCTGTAATCCCAGCAGTTTGAGAGGCCCAGGTGGGCGGATCACCTGAGGTCAGAAGTTCAAGACCAGCCTGGCCAACATGGTGAAACCCCGTCTCTACTAAAAATACAAAAATTAGCTGGGCTTGGTGGCCCATGCCTGTCATCCCAGCTACTCGGGAGGCTGAGGCAGGAGAATCGCTTGAAGCCAGGAGGCGGAGGTTGCAGTGAGCCAAGATCGCACCACGGCACTCCAGCCTGGGCGACAGAGTAAGACTTGGTCTCAAAAACAAACAAACAAACAAACAAAAAGATCCCAGAGGAGAGACTGAGGCCAGCCCCTGGTCCATGCGGAAGCCCAGCCTCAGAGCCCACTTGGGGTTCAGGACACCAATAGGCAACTCAGCCACAAGCTGATAAGACACACACACACACACGCACACGTATTCACACCCCTGCACTCATGTGCACGCAGGCAGGCACACACACACCCCTCCCACCTGGTGCAACATGACCAGACACTGGAAGTGGGCGTGGGACGGCCTCGAGGATCCTTGAGGTCACAGGCTGTGACTGGCAGCAGAGCCACCGGCCTGGAGCCGTGTGAAGGACCCTCCTGCAAATCCACCAGCAAAGCAGCTGCCCCGGACTCCAGCCACTGGACGAACGGCAGCCATGGAAACCGCCGTGCAAACACACACGACACGGAACACATCGTCTGTCGTTAGAGGCGTTTGGAGCTGGAAGACCTAAGTGAGGTCCTCCGACTTCTGTGCCCCAAGACGCTGTTCACACTTGCACAGTGTCACACACATGCACACACGCCTGTGCATGCAGTCACACACAGAGGACAGTTGCCACCCTGTGTGCACGTACATGGCAATCACACACATGTGCACTCATACACTTGCACGCAGAAACCCACACAGTGGGCAGGTACAGCCCTGTGAGCACCCACACAGCAGCCCGTCGGTACACACAGATACACGTGCAGTGGGCTGTGCCTGTACCTGGCTTGATGAGACTGTGGTGCTTGCAGTGTACGATGGCTGCCACCAGCAAGTCTTTGAGGACACACAGGACCTTGCTGGGCACAATGTGTCCACGGCACTTGGCATCACCCTCCGAGGAGGCAGTGAAGATATCGTTGGTGGTCCACCGCTCCAGGCCAGCCCCTTCCCTGGGCACACCCAGTCGGCATAATTCAGGGCCATCCTCTGGCTGGGTGGCCTCTGGTTCCTCAATCAGTAGAGCCTCGGCATCCACCCACAGGGGCACCTCCATGTCCAGCGGGTCCTCAGAGGAGCGCAAGGCGAACTGGAAGGCCTCCAGGCCGCGGGAGTAGTCCACGATGAAGCGGGGGTCCAGGGCATGCACGCGCTCCAGCACCGTGAGCAGCACGTTCTCTGCACGCTGGAAGTCCTGGGCACGCTGCGCCTCCCGCGACCGGATGGCCTGCAGGTAGTGGTGCCACAGGGGCACCTGCACGGCCATGGCTGAGGTGGGGACAGCAGGGGCAGGCATCCCTTCAACGGTGGCAGGTGAGGGCCAATGGCCCCTGAGGAGGGCTCCGCAGGCCGGCTGTGCAGATGGGCTGGGAGGAGGCACCTGCCCAGGTAAGCAGCAGGTCTGCAGGTGGGGCCTCAGCTCCCGCAGAGCAGAATTCCGGAGTGACGGCACAGTGCGGCAGGTTAAATAGCTGAACTATTTAAGGCCTTTGAAGTGGCGGTGAGTCAGTCCCCAGCAATCGGGAATGTCACAGGGGCCGTGCAAGGCAGGCAGAGGCTGGGCTTGGTTACCCTCCTCCCTCCCATCAGAAGAGCTCTCGCATCTTAGGCCCAGGCCCCTGTCCCAGCCAGGCTTGGGGTCCCTGGAGAAATCCTGCCATGGACTGCGCCGTCCCTGGGAGGGGAGGCCTGTGTGTATTCCTGATGGGCCTCCTTCCACCCTCCTGCCCACAGCCCAGGGGCCAGGTCTCTGGATCAGGCCCCCCTGCTCCAGCCTCCCTGCCAGGTTGGAGGGAACACAAGGCGCCCCATGGCTCAGTGAGAAAGGGGAGGCAGGGCGGTGGCTGCCCAGACTCCGCTGTGGGGGAGCCCCGGACTCTCTAAGGCTGCCTGGAAGGCGGGGAACCTGGAGGCTGCGTCTCTGCAATGTTCCCCTCAGACACCTGTGCCCGGCTTAAAGGAAGACGCCTCAAACGTGCACAGGCCACAGCCCTGGCATGGCTCCTGCCTCTGCCCCAGCTGTGCGTCCAGCCATCTGGGCCCCGGACCCCTGGGCTACCAGTCCCCACCCCACCCCACCCTGTCCAGCCTCCAGCCTGAGAGGAGCTGGCACCCACCTAGCCTGGGAACTGGAGCTCGTCTGGTTCTGGAGAGAAGCAGTCCCCGTGGCTCCACCTCACTCAGGTGGAGAACTTCGCCCTACCATCCCCCTCCAGCACCTGCGCCAGGCACCCTGCCCGCCCCGCCCCCTCCCTGCGCAGGGCTGTGCAAGTCCCAACCAGCAGGGAGCCGCCCCACCG